ATAGTTACAAAAAATGTGCTTAAGCAATCAGAAAAAACTGTAATTGTTTTGCTGCAGTGATGCTGCTTCTTCAATGAATTTACAGTTTTTTCTGATTGCTTAAGCACATTTTTTGTAACTATGCGTAAAAATGGTGTTTTCGTATCAAACAGTACACACAAGCCATCATCTACTAAGCACACAATGCGCCAACTGCACACTGATGGTATGAATACAAAACACATCTGGCTTTTGCTTTCTCTGTGTACAGATGTCAATTTGAGGTCATACTTTTGTCATAGTGTCATGTGAACATACAAGGATCCAAACTTCAAGTATTGGTGTTTATTCACACTCATCAAAACCAAGACAAAGTCAGAACACAAAATAGTAATTTCACAAAAAAAAAGGAAAAAAAAGACAATCAGCCTACATCATGTTGTCTTTCTGGGTCCGGCCACAAAATTTCGTCCACATCGCATGCGATATCCTCCAGTCCAAGGCACCGGGGATAATATCTCCTTGAATGCTGTATCCAGGCCTGACATGATATCTCCACATGCCTCCTCCATTGCCTGTAAAAGGGCTACCTGTTGATGAGGATGACGGTCGTACACTTTCCAGCGCCAGGCAGAGAAGAACTCCTCGATGGGATTTAAGAATGGAGAGTATGGAGGGAGGTTGAGTGCCATGAAGGATGGGTGGTCTGTAAACCAGTTGCGGACCAAAGCAGCCCTATGGAAACTAACATTGTCCCATATGATGACATATCGGGTATGCTCTGGTCTCTGAACAGTGAGCATGTCATGTAAGGTGTCCAGGAATGCAATAATGTGTGCAGTGTTGTATGGGCCTATGGTTGCATGATGGTGAACAACACCATTTTGGCTTATAGCTGCACACATGGTTATGTTACCACCACGTTGTCCTGGGACATTGATGATGGCACGGTGTCCAATAATGTTCCTGCCATGTCTCTTGGTTTTACTGAGGTTAAAACCGGCCTCATCTACAAAAAGTAGCTCATGTCCCATGGCATCTGCTTCTAGTTCCATCACTCTCTGGACAAGACAAAACAAATGCAACACATCAGGCCCATGCACAGCACTACAGTATGCACTTCCAAATTCAGAACCAATGACACTATACTGTAGCTTACCTGCACATAGTCATATCGCAGTTGCTTTACACGTTCTGTGTTTCTCTCGAAAGGAACTCTGTAAATTTCCTTCATTCTTATTCTGTGGTGCGCAAGTACACGACTTAGTGCAGAAATGCTTGCACTGTGTATATTTTGAAAGATGGTGTCATTATCAATAATGCGCTGCTGTATTTTGCGCAGTCTTATTGCATTATTGGCAATCACCATGTTCACTATATGGGTCTCTTGCTCTGGAGTGAACATTCTTCCTCTGCCCCCAACATCTGGACGTCTAGCAATTCTGTAAAGTAACAATTTCAGTATTTTTGCATGTATGGTACTGTTGTGTTGCTCATTAGAGTATGGCAGTGCTACAAAGTACTTACCGATTCTCATTTCGAAATGTCCTAATGATGCTTGCCACAGTGTAGCGGCTCAAATTAGGCTGAACCCGTTGGCCAGCTTCCCTCAGGGTCATCCCATGGTTGATGACATGGTCCACTATTGTAGCTCTGATGTCATCAGTTATTCTATTTCTTACTCTTCTTACCCTTCCTCTTTCCCCTCCTCGTCCTCTTCTTGCTCCTCCTTGTCCTCTTCCTCTAACTTCCTCGAACCCTCTCGCATCTTCAGCTCCACGTCCTCTCCCTCTGCCGCCTCGGCCTCCTCTGATTCTCACTCTTCTCACTCTTACTGCTCCTTCCATTGTACTCCACATAGACAGCTTACCTGTGGCTTATTTATAGTGCTTATAGGCTGATTGCAAAGTGAACTAATTATCTAAAACAGTTTTCACATGTGAAAGTGTGCCAGACAGTTGGCAAAATAGTGTTAATGATAGCCATACATGTGTATAATTTTGCTAGGAGTGTGTTGGAAATTTGGTAATTGAGTGTAAGTAGTGAGTTGTGTTTAAAGTTCTGCAAAAAGAGTGTTGTGCAGTGAATTGTGCCTACAGTTTTGCAAAGTGTGTGTTACAAAATTGCAAACTGAGTGCAAAGCAGTGTTTGTGCTTTTAGTTTTGCAAACTCAGTGAGTGGTTTTGCTATACAGTAAGTATTAATAGTTTTAGAAATTGTGCTATAAGAATCACAGTTAGGGTTTAAGCCATCAGAAAAAACTGTAATAGGAAGAGCTTTCAATGACTTTGGCACATCAGTGGCTGCAAGATAAAACCAATTTCTACTCTGAATTGATTTTGTTCCACTTATTATTCCACAATTCAGTAATTGTATTTGGGTTTGTTTATCATAACTTTGTTCCCAGTTACCTTGTAGAGATTTTTGATAGGGTTCTGATCAGGACTCTGGGCTTGCTATTTCTTCAGCTTGATGTTCTCAGCTTTGATGAATTACTTCACCCGTTTTGCAGTGTGGTAAGGGGCATTGTCTTGCATAAAAATGGCTGACTTATTGGGTCATGTTTGCTGGGAAGGAGCCACATGTTAAAGGAGGTTCTGAGACACATTAGCATTCACCTTGCCATGTAGCCGTACGAGAGGCCAGACGCCTGCTGCAGAGAACATACCCCACACCATAACACATACAGTACCCCTCCGGACTTCATTACACATCTCTCCCCAATTCAACACCAGAAATAAGGTTTCCCATCTGAACCAACTAAATTTAACTTTGGGCCAGCTCTCCCTTGTTCACAAAACATGTTCCACAGCAAGGGGCTAGTCAAGCCTTTTTATTCATTTTGCTGATATGTGGCTTGGCCACTGCAATGGTGGCTCTCAATTCACGTTATCCCAAATGATTAGAACCTGTGAAGGCAAATGCTTCCTATCCAGAACTGATTTGGCAAGCAATTCCAGCTGCTGTGTTAAACTGAACAAGAAGAAAATATTTCTGTAGAATTCCATAGAAGTAAGAAAAATTACATGCAACAGAAAAAAAAGATCAAAGTTTTGGCAAGATTTTACAGAAAAAAAACTACTACAGATTAGAGATCATTGCATATTCTAAAACCAAAAAGGGGTATCTGACAGTACCACACAAAGTAAAAATTATAATAAAATGTCTTTGATATCACATATCAATAACATTATGCTAAAGATCATTCAATAAAAACTAAACCCCTACATTGGAAAGGAATTAACTAATTACATGCAGATTCAGGAAAGGCAAGGAAACAAAAGACATCATTGCTGATTCATGATGGTCAAATGAAAAAAGCAAGAAATAACAAATGAGCTTCAACATCTGTTGTACTGATTCCAGGAAAGCCTTTTATTTTCTTGGAAAATTGGAATATTCTCTGGAAAATTGGTGTGCTAGAACATCTTAAGGACCCTAATTGTCCTTCTGAATAATATCTGTACTACAGAAGAAGCCACAATCAGGATGGAAAATGGAGAAAACTGACTAGTACCACATTGGTAAATATGTTAGACAAGGATGTTAATCCATTGCAGGACACACACTATAGGAAATTTAGAAACACGAATTAGCTACGCTGTATGTGTCAGGATCGGTCCTGGTCTTGTCTCATTCTGTCCATCATTTCCCTGTTTGGCCAGCAGGTGTTGCAGGTCATCGCGTTCAGTTCCCTGTATTTTCCTTGATTTGCCCCCAGTTATTATGCTCATAGTTTCCCTCCTTCCCTGGGCTGCTGCATGGCTAAATGGGCTGAACATGTGGCTGTAAACCATTCATCCTCATGTGACGTGAGTTTGACGCTGGCCTCTTTGAATGTTTTTGACTTCTGAGCCCTGGAGTTCTGTTTTCTTAAATTCCACGTTACACAAGTTCTGTGTGTTTTGTACACCAGTTGGATCCGTGCCTTTAGTGTCACTGCTTTCCCTAATGATTTAAAATTTATGTCGGCTCACTCTTTGCTAATAAACTAATAAAGTGCAAGTTAAGTATGAATTAGTCTTATGAAGATCTTGCGTCCGAGTGGTGAGCCAGAGGAACTAAAATAGACAGCATCATCACTGGTAATTACACAACCGCTGGGAGGTATGTGCCCAATAACAGGAATCACCAGGGATCCTGAGACATGGGCTGAGGGGGTTTGCCTGATTTGATGGAGTCCTGGCACAGGGGGTTCCCTGGGGGGTTTGGGTGGAATTTGAACCCCCAACCCCACTAGTCATGAGGCAAAAGTCCTACCCATCAAGCAACCATGCATTTAAGAAGACTATGTCAGTAAAATAAACACATTTAGTCCCACCCCAATAAAGGCAGCAAAAACATTCAGAAATTGAATAGGTTTATTTGACTCATTAAACAGGTTCCATGTTTGTGACCAAAAGCAAGGATTATACAGCAGGTAGAAGCAATCCTACAAAGTGCAAGCCTCTGTGACGGTTCTTGTATTTGGTCACAGCGCAGAAATATGCAAGAGAAACAGGAGTAATACTTCAGTAGAGAGCAGAATCTGCGCAATATTTTTATAAAAGTTTAATTCTACTCAAAGGCATGACATAGACATTTGGTGAATGAATAATAAAAAAAAACATTTATCAATGACACTGCTATGTTTATAGAGGTTCTGAAAAAAACAGACTTAGTTGAGTAGGGTTCCTAAAATATGTGCAAATTATATCCATAACAAAGTAAAATAAGTTATTTTCAAATGTTTTTCGTATTGTACAATTTTGCCTTAACTTGCAAAAAAATAAAATTATTATTAAAAAAAAGTAGTAATATATAAATTTAGTGCAGAGTTTTCCATGGGTTTTTTTGTTCTTTTTTCCGTTTATTCATGTAGAAGAAACTAGAAGAAAACATGCTGGGTTCTCCACTGTATCAAGATTTTTTTTCTGAAATTTGCCAAAATCAAGGTACAAAAACTCGGTAAATAAACTGTGCAGTTAGGAGGATAAAGTGATCATATATCCTGTCACAGAGTGAATTGGGGATACTATAATAGCTCAAGACTGATATGGCAGACACCATACCTGCTCTAACCCTAAAGTATGCTACACACACACTACACATGCTTTACGCCTATAATATTCATACATTACACTTGCCTTAAATCTACAATGCTTCATTGTATGAGCGGTTCTTCCATTCCAGCACTGTACTTGTGTATATCTATTTTGTTGTGGCAATTGGGTTACTCTCGTCCACAACCTTTGGCTATATTGCAAGATCAGCAGCTGTGAGTGATACCTACTCTCTCATACAGTCCACATAAATACCTAAAATATGCCTGAGCCATCACATAAATGACAGTGGCACTCGGTTACTTGACATTTTACATATCCTTCTCAACAGCTGCTTATCCAAACAGGGTCTCATGAAGCACATTAAATTCAGCACCAATCCACTGCAGGGCAATTGCACAACAAGGAATTCTTTAGACACCAGCTCAGCTGAACGGCAGGTCATTGCACAGTAGATAAAAACCATAGTATTTGGAAGAAACCGGCATATGCACCATGCAATCCCCACACACCAAGAGACGAGTGGAGAATCAAATCTACAATTCTGGGACTATCACAATGCTACCTGCTGAACCCTCATGCTCTCCCCAAAAAATTACAGTAATTATTATATATCACTCATAAAATTATTGCATAACTTATTACAATATGACTTACTGGACAAAACAGAGTGGTCTGGTAAATGCACGTATGATAGAATTTACAGAATGGGGCCCATTCTAGAAACTGCCACTGAGTGTAATCTGCGTCAATGTCATCCCAAGAGACGGTGTCTTCAAATAGTTATTAAACAGCATGTGTGTCACTAGAAATAAGCCAAAAATCCTCCACAGGTAGCTTCTCTTTATATTGTTCCAATTTGGTTGTGTTGTGACACAAAGCAGATTTATACTGATGAGAAGTATACATACACAGGAAGAGTTAAACCTTACAAACAACATGCTCCTTTGCTGAATTATTTGAAAAGCATCGTTGAAGGCACTTATACTCTTTGTCACCTCAAGTACAAGTTTAAGTTTTTTTGATGAATACTACTTCTGTAAGAGCTATCAATAGCTCACAGTCTCCTAAATGAATGATAATAGTAAATATCTATGAAAAAAGAAAAAATCACAGTGACTGTTTGAAGTTTACATTGAGTAAAGGGACCAGCAGCTTAATGGCCATGTGGAAAAACCTCATCTAATGCAAACCTTCTGCTTTAACTACTGGCTGCCTCCTGCCACACTCAGACAGAGGATGCGAAAATTCACTTTCCATCTCCGATTATATTTATTTGAAGCAATTTTTCTGATGCAGTGCCACTTCATACCTTCTATAACTGACTCAATAAAGGAAAATATACTTAAAACCTTTGGCCATTGACAACATGGACTATTCATCCCCAACTCTAAACACACACAAGCCATCTTTCCCCAGCACTTTCAAGGAAATATGTGAATGAGGTAGTCCTATGGTCAAACGATCAGCCGCAATGGACAAAACAAAAGTGAGGACAGGTAGTCCTAGCATTTGCTGCACTCCAACACCACAAATAATGAAAAGATGAACCTAGAATACGACATACAGGACTTGGGAAACCAGCTGGTCCTTGCATTAGCCATGAGAGAAGGTGAAAAAAGATGATAGCTATCGCTAGTAACAGAGTGAACCAGGGCTAAGAAAAGATAGTATTGTCACTCAGCCATACTGGAACAGAGAAAAGTGCATACACCTATGACTAGTGTTGTGAAAACTTGGCCAAAGAGGAATTGAATCAGCTGACATAAGCATTAGCTACATTTGGCGAAGGAAGAGTGTAACTAACAAGTCTTAGCATTAGCCACACTTGGCGATAGAGGAGAAATAGCAGACTCAATAATAATTATATATAATATAATTTAATGTATAATTATAATAATAATAATTAGCTATCACTTATAAAACAAGATGGATAGTGCAGTGGCTCAGAATAGTAGGGCTAGTTAATTATAGCAACACTTTAAAGAAAGAGTAGGACTAGCTGGTGTTTGCACTGGTGCTGAATGTCTCTACTCGGTTGTGCAAAGGCAGCGGAAAGGCCTGGGACTTGGAACTCGTCATGGAAGGAAAGGCCAGGGCACTAGTAGCTCCTGGCATTTTAACCGGAACTATCCCAGGCCATGCTGTTTCTTCTCCGAATGGACCGGTTGGACGTATGGCATAACCGGACCCCATGGATGCCAGTGTAGGGGGCACAGTGTGGGAGAAGAGTGGCTGAACATTCCCTACACCGGGAACACTGCCAAAGTCCTCCTAGAGAGTGAACAAAAAGTAAGAATTAAACTGCTTTATTCTCATTTGCACACTCTACTTGTGGTCACAGTATCGCAAACAAGAAAGTTTTGAAGATAATACAATTTCCAGTGTTTGGTTGTACTCCAATTATGTTCCCCTGTGTGCCTTATCCCCAGTTCCCCCTTCTGCTGGAGCTTCTTTCTCATTTCCTTCTCATTGACCAAACAGCCAGCTGTTACCCTCCCGAGCGTCACCCATTCACTGACGCACGCTGCCGTGTCGTATTGCATTGCGTCCCCCTGAGCGGTCTGCTCATTGTCCTTAAAAACAAAGGCGCCTACAATGACCAACTTATCATGCTTATAAATAACTCAAAAATACTAAAAGTGATTTCATTAGAAAGGCCGCATTTTTAAAGGAATCTCTTTAAATATGCCGAATGATTTCTAATAGCAGAAGTCAAAAGGATGGTAAGTGTAAGCACTCATATTGCCGTTGTCTCTACACTCGACTGGGTAACGTGTTTGTGAGCCCACTCAAACTACCATTCATTCAGATCTTCATTTTAGCCCCCAGCCAGAAGCTCACCTCACTGGTGTCAGAGGGTGGTGCTCTGCTCTCCCCCTTGTGCCTCTGGCTCTGCGGACTAGTTAGACCAAGAAGGGGTTTGGCCTCCTTCGCTGCCAGAGTCTCCCGCACCCAATCATCCACCAGCCTGTGCAGCTCCTCTGTAAAGGTGCCTTTCTTGTTGTTGCTGTTGTTAGCTTGGGCCAGAGGCAGCCCTGGCTGGCATGGAGGGGGGGTTGAATCTGGGGGTTGCTTTACCATCGCTGGGGCCACCCCGCCACTCTGTGATGACTCTGGCAAACAGAAGGTCCTGAGGTCACTCCCCTTTCCGGAAATTGCACTGCATTACTACACTGCATTACTACACTGCTCCCGAGGGATCAAAAGAGATGTAATCATAGCACAAATTCTGACGGAAGCTACCTCAACAGTGAACATTTTTTTTCCTATAAACAACTTCATTCTGTGATTAATTACCTAACAACATCATTTACATACTTATTGAAAAATCTAACTGGAAAACAGCCAAATTGTGTCAATAACATGTCATGCCTATTATTAGGAAAAATGAAGATTTCCTACCAAAATCTGAAGCAAATCAACTCAGGAAACAAGAACAGTCAGTTCATGAGAACAAAGCACAGACTAGTAACAGTTAAAAGAGATAGTTACTATTACTGCGGTCTTTGCCTACACACAGTCTTTTCAAGGTGGACCCTAGAAGACAAACAAGGTTAAGTCAGGTCACCAGTGGCTGCTGGAACAATGCTTTAAAAAAAATACCAACAGAGATTAAAAGATGCTCTCAACACTACACTGTACTCGGGGAACCATGCACAGCAGGCAGGTGATCTACAAAAAACAAAAGCTTAATTATGCCTTTTTAAATGACACATGTTGGTAACCAACACTGACGTGATAAGCAGAGCAGGCATCTTAGAGCTAGGGGTACAGGTGTAAATTTGAGGCTTTGATTAGTAGGTGCAGCAGTTAAATATTTACAGGTAGGCTGTTCAGAAGCTGACAGGATAACATGATTATAGGCATGAAACAGAAACCACACTGACCAAGATGGTACATGCAAGGGCGTAAGAGCACATCCAACTACTGTATGTGTGCATGTACAACTGACCCTGCAGCTGCAATGAGGCTTGCAGCTAAAATGGCACCATTACTTACTATGGCTTTATGGCACCGTGGGTCCCGGACACTATCTGCTACTGTGCCCACAACTAAACCTATTGCTATGACTAGGTGTGAGACCCCACCCATTCATTTATGTCCATTGTAGTGGACATTTTGTTTTTGCATCTTTTCACTCATGTAAGGAAACATACAGTATTTATTCCTGTTGTACACTAAATAGGACATGCTGTGAAATTAAAAATAAATTTGAAAAAATCTAAATTGTAAGTTCCTCCAAAGACAAATAACCTAAAACTGAAGGACACTTTTTTCCTCGGGTCTCAGGAGGCTACAGGATTTGTGACTCCACTGTCATCTGCTTCAGTGTCTCTGGTTGCATCTACAGTTATGTTTGAGACTGCTGCTACCACAGGGTGCCAAGAAGGTAAATTAAGTAGACCGCCACACCACGCCACCTAGCTCTATGATGGAACATACGTGTCGCACACGGGAAGACGTGTACAAGGCACCGCTCGTTAGGGAAAAGTCTGATTTCCCGACCACTCTCCGTTTTTTAGCGTGTGGAGAACCAGGAGATCTGGGCTTCCTTGCACATGCCTCATTTGAGCCCGTGGCAGCTAGAGCGCATCTCAAGATCCACCAAGGCCGCCGCAGCACCGGAGGGAAGCCCTACAGAGCTGCTCGGGGTGGTCGGTCGGCCAAAGGGAGGGTGAGAGGCAGAGGACGTGCTGATGTGGAGGAACATGCAGAGGGATACAAACAGATGGACAAGGACACGGGCCCACTGAGGAATCGAGCTCGCGGTTTGCTGCCGGACTTGGAGCTGGATCTCTCTGGTGTGTGAGGCTGCGTGGTCCAGCCTGTGGAGGAAGACAAAGAAGCAGTTAAAGGAGTCCCCAAATGTCTTCATATAGATGTGACTTTCACCTTATATCTCATGTGGTCCCTGGGATAAGGTGTAGGGTCATAGCAATCATCAACTACAGAAACCTTTTATTACATTAGGAGTTTCTGGCCATTCCTAAAGCAGGGACCCCAAATGAAAACAGACCAGAACTAAGGGTACCCTAATGTGTGATCAACTTGATAGCATTTTATGAAACACTGGCATGTTGGAAGATGGATGGATGCAAGCAAACTAATAAAAGGGGAAAATCATATACTGTAGCATATATATATATATATGCTACAGTACCAATAAGCATTTGTGTGCTGTTGCATGTGTCGGAGAGCTGGTTACCATGGGCTGCCTGACCGTGTGCCATCCTCCCTGCTTTCTGCAAGCCTGAACAGTAGATGTTATCTGTGGAGAGCGAGGCCCTGAGAGAGCAGGGCTGCTGAGTCTGGACTGGCACTGAGGTTGAGGTGGGCAGCAGGCCAGCATTGGATCGGAACGCGCCATCGGCGGATCCAGAAGCCGTCAGCGAGGTCGTGGCGGGCTCACCTTTCAGGTACAGGGGACATTGGAGTAGCCATGACTGTGATGCTCAGAGCTTTTAAAAAGTATAAACAGCAACAGAAGGAAGCCTAAAAATTGAAGTGTTTCAGTTACAAGGAAAAGTAACTTTAGTTATTTTTAAATCCTACATGGCAAAAAGAAATGAAAAATTTTAAATATGGGAAAATGAAATGGACTTTCAAGATAGGTATAAGAAGTAGAACAATTCCAGCTCCCTAAATCCTCTGGAAGACAAAAAAATAAATCCAGCAACTTCGGTTTTAGTTCTTGCTGCATGGGGCACACTTGGTAAAATATGTCAGCTAACGTTTACTGAGTCTGCTTCAGACAACTCTCAATAAATGAAAGCTGTTAAGGGAGATGTATATGGTGGGACACTACTCGATAGCACATAAGTCAATGACTGTATAAGGATCATTGTTTTTTTTCATCTACTAGTTAGTATTTGACAGATTGTGTTTTTTTGTCTACAATCAGCAACACGCTGTGCTGTCCCCTCCTGGTAATATGTTCTGACTCACTGGTTTTACTGGTCACGCCTTTCAGCTGCTGAACCAGTGGATTGAGGAGTTTCCCAGCTCTGAGCCTGTGTTTGCTGGCTCGCCGCCTGCGGCCAGCAGGTGGTGCTGTTGGTAAGAATCCCAAGCTGGGAGGCACGGATTTACCCAGCTTCTTGTACAACGTCTCAATTTCCTGTCTCTGATGGGCCTGGAGCTCTGTAATTTCTTTCATGTGTCTGAAAAAGAGGAACAATGTAATAATAACATTTCATCAGAAAAGACAAGTAAACAGCTCTGTCTTTCGACAATGTGTGACAATGATACTTCCTGTCACAAACACATCTTTCGACATAAATCAGGTCAGGTCAGGTTGAAGAGCATGCGCTGATGCAGCGCATTGCCGCACCCACTAATAGCGAAACTCCTCAGGATCCTGGATGGCGACCCACCAGGCAGACACACGGTCCAGTCCCACCCTCTGGAAATGACCATCCATCTGCCGCAGGCAGGTGTTACATGGTCGTCCCCTCGGCTTGGTCCAGCACCTCGGGTCCTCAGCAATGAGGAAACTGTGAGCCGGGTCGCCCTCAAGGAAACGTGCCACATGGTTGTAGGGTTGTAGTGCCGTAACTGACACTCCCTCACAATGAAGGTAATGTGGCTCATTCGGGACCTCTCTAGCAGCTGCTCATTCGACACAAAGTCAAACCCGCGGTACCCAAGGATTCTCCAAAGAGACACAGTACCGAAGGAGTCCAGTCTTCGTCTCAGCTCAGTGAATAGCGTCTATGTCTCACAGCCATACAGCAAGACAGGGAGCACCAGGACTCTAAAGACTTGGACCTTCATCTTCTTGCAAAGATATCGGGATTGCCACACATCCCTTTCTAGTGAACTCATGACCCCCCATTCTCCCCCAATCCGTCTGTTGACTTCATAAGAAGAGTCACCAGAGACATGAATGCTGCTGCCAAGATAAGTGAATCTCTCAATGAGTTCGACACCTTCCCCACAGACAGACACACTACTGATGGCTGTGGCTAAGAAGTCATTAACCTGGATCTTGGTTTTTATCCAAGACACTCGCAATCCCAGACACTCAGACTCCTCGCTCAATCCCTCAAGAGCCCCGATCAGAGCCTCCATTGACTCCACGACGATCACAGTATGGTCGGCAAAGTCAAGATCAGTAAAACTTTCCTCACCAAAAAATGCCCCATAACCGCTGGACCCCACAACCTTGCCCAACACTCAGTCCATGCAAGCATTGAACAGAGTAGGAGTAAGAACACACCCCTGGCAAATCCCGGAATCAGAACTGGGAAGAACACGGAGGTTCTCCTTCCATTTTGCACAGCAGGGTTGGGGCCATTCCGGAATGCATTCATCAATTCCAGTCCAAATCAGGAAATGGAACTGGAGTTGGGATTGGAAAAAAAAACTATTTAGAACAGAATTGGAATTGAATTCGAATTTCAGGGAGATTTAAATTCCAACTCCAGTTCCATTTTCTGATTTGGATTGGAATTGACGAATGCATTCCAGAATGGCCCCAACCCTGTTGCAAAGCACTCACTGTACCAGTATACAGGCTGCCCATGATGTCCAGAACCTTCGGGGAGATCCCGCAAAGTCTCAGGATGTCCCACAGGGCAACTCGATCAACTGAGTCAAACGCTTTACGAATATCAACAAAGGCTGCAAAGAACCTCTGCCAATATTCCCACTTGTGTTCAATGAGAACCCTCAGTGCAAGGATGCGGTCAGTGGTAGACTTCTTAGGTGTAAAACCAGACTGCTCTAGCCACTGATAGGTGAGCAAGTCATCACGGATCCTGTTAAGGATGACCCTAGCAAGGACGTTACCTGGCACTGAGAGCAGTGTTATCCCCCTCTAGTTGCCACAATCCAGGCGATAACCCTTCCCTTTCCAGATAGGTACTACATGTCCCGTCTTCCAGTCAACTGGGATGACGCCTGACTCCCAAATGGAAGCAAAGATTGTCTGTGATGCCAGGAGGACAGCCTTACCACCAACTTGGAGAAGTTCACCCCGGATACCACAGATCCCTGTGGCCTTCCCCACCCCCAGCTGATTCACCACCCGTGCAATCTCAGTGAGATTGAGTGGTTCACAGCTGACTGGAGGATAAGCCTTGAGAACCATGGACCCAGAGATGTCCAAAGTCCTAGACGGAGGATCAGCTTTAAACAGCTGCTCAAAGAAGCTGGCCTTGCGGGTCACAACTGCAGCGTCAACCGTAAGGACCGTTTCATCATCAGCCCTGATTGCAAATCTCTGAGGAACAGATTCAGATGTACGTAATGCTTCAATTCCTCTGTAAGCAGGACATGGGTCACTAGACCACAGATGATTTGTCACCTGCTCACAGATTCATCTAACAAACACCTCCCTATCTGCCCTCAGAGCCCTCTCAGCTGTCCTCCTCAATTTCCGGGAAAGATTGGAGTTGCCACCAAGTCATGCATTGCAACTCCTCTTGATAATATCCAGAGTGCCCTGTGAGATGAAACACCTCCTTCTAGAAACACCAGCAACACTAACACAACCCTCGGCAACCTTCAGGGTCTTATCACGGAAGGACTCCCACATCACATTAGAGTCGGCAGTCGCACCTAAGTCTGCAAGTTCCTCACACAAACTGCATGCAAACTCATCAGAAACAGCTTGATCTTGGATTCTGGCCAAGTCCAGCCTCATTCTCCTAGTCTCCTACTGGATCTAAGCTGAATCTTCAGAGTAGCAACAACAAGTCTGTGGTCAGAATTCAGAAACCGGGCACTTCTGTAGACCCTGCAGTTCTGCAGGAGCCTCCAGCATCTGGCTACAAGGATCTGATCGATCTCCTTCGCCACACTACCAGTATTAGAGTATCAAGTCCAACAATGCGGATCAGGGCATCAGAGCCAGGATCCAGCAACCCGCAGCCCCTGACCTTTTGCAAAGTCGAGGAACATGGAGCCACTCTCACCCCGTTCTTCAGACTCATGGGGACCGACACAATCCTCATAGCCATAGTCAGTGCCTGTGGTCACATTGAAGTCACCCATGACCAGAGGAGTGTCACCTTGTGGGCACTCATCAACCACCAAGTGAAGCTGCAAGTAAAGTATCTCGCTCAACAAGACATCACTCATCGCGGTCGGAGCATACACTGATACAACAGACAAGACATCCAAGGAGTGCCTTAGCCTGAGTCTCATAATATGCTCGTTGAAAGGAGTGACATCAGACACCATTGGGAGGAGCTGCAACAGCTACTCCCTGAGTATGGCATTCATCAGAGCGACCTCAAAGAGTGACGCCACCAGAATGTGGAGTTTTCGAAGCTCCCCTGACAGCAGAGGAAGATGGTCATCTTGCCGGAGAGACAAGCTGTTCTATGTGCCTACCCCGGATGGGTCGCCTCAGATTGGGACCCAAGTGCCGCCATGCAGCAGGCGACACCTTAAATCTGGAATTATTTTGGGAAATGTTGGTAAATGGTGCCAAGAAACCACTAAGTAGGTTCATAACAGCTGACAAAAACCATTTCTGGTATTTTATGATCAAATAAGCTTATGAATAAAAATGCCTTAAAAATTGCCCATTGAATTTCATTAAACAATATTTGCCATTCATATTTAAAGGCTAAGAAAAAAGCTGGATCTTATTAGAATTATGAAATCTGAACTCATTATTCCATAACCTTAACTGAATAACCTTTTTCTTATGATATAAATCTCTTATGTCACAATAAAAGTATGATTCTACTATTATTTAGCAATAAATTTAACAGTACTATACAGTGAGTGATGAGACAGTCTCACACACACACAATTATCTTACTTCTCCCTAAGTCTCTGTAGCTCTTTCCTGATGTCAAGGTCTTCAAACTCCGAGTCATTGTCACTGCTGACGTAGGAGCAGGAATGGAAAGTAGCAGCGTGGACAATGTGGGCGTGGCCAGTGCTGCCGTGGGCAGGTGAATCTGAGCTGTGGACACTGCTGCTACGCCCTGACCTCTTCAGAAACGCCACAGCTTTCTTCACCAGGTCACTGCCCCTGCGCTCACTGGGGGGACGCTGGAACTGCGGGGCGGGCAGATGTTTGATGGGGCTGCTGTCTTCCCCAGAATCAGAAGAACGTTGGTGAGAATTTGGTCTCACTGCGGCCACAGGGGAGGGGCTCCGTCTTGGAGGTGGGGGCGGGTCCAGGTAGAAGTCTGGTGGGGCAGAATACCTGTTGCAGCGTACCCTCAGGGTGACCTCATCTTGAGTGCTGACCACGGAGAATCTGCCGATGCTAGTGACAGGCACTACCCCCTTTTCTGCATTCGCTTCAGAGCTCTCTTCCCTGCCCTGAACAACAGGAGGTGCTGTGGCAGAATAGGGGCTCCAACTCCTGGGATTCTGCTCCAGATGCTGTCTGATTTCTGGCGTAGCAGGAAACAGCTTTGGGGGAAACACAGGCAGAGTATTATTTCGCTAATCTTTATGCCCTTTAGTAACACTCTCCTAAGTGGTGAACAGAAAAATCAAAAGTTTACAAACAGTTCCCAATCCCAATGTCGTAGAGAAACTTTAATCCCATAGTTAACAGTGAGGGCGGTGGCTACCTCCAGGCACAAGGCCAGCATTTTTCCTGAAAAAGAGACTCCCACCCTGAGTATGTGAGAGTGTTGATAAGCATGCGTGACAGCAGGAGGAGGTAAGTAGTTTACTGCAATTGTCCTTGTATTGTGGCAAGCTTCCCTGTTTTCGAAGAGCATACCTTGAAGCGACTTTTTGACCCTGAACAGGATGCAGAGTGCGGGACTATGTAACGCTTTGCCTGGCCCCACTCAGGAGCTGAAAACAGAACACTTCCCGTCAGTTCCAGAGTATCATTGGTGCCAATCACAACAAAATGGCCAGCTGAGAGTAGTAATAATAACTAGATTCTGTCAGAACCACAACAATGTATTCCCCAGATGGCCCCATAGCCCCCCTCCCCATCTATTCTGTACTCACCCCACACCACCCCCAACCTCTATCTCTAGCTCCATACACTAGGCTTGGGTGGTATCTAATTTTTCATATCGTCATATGGTCCATACGTTATACTGTGGTGTACAGTATTTTCAAACGCAGCAGTATTCCAGTATTTTGAAATCTTGGCATGGAGCGTCCCAACAATAAAATTACTAAACAAAAATACTGCAGTATTTATCTAAAATATTACGACAATAACTCCCAAGCCTACCCTACACCCTGGTTAGCCTAAATTTACACCATAAATTTTGCCGACTATTACTGATAAGACGTTCCGAGTTAGGGGGGCAGATAAACTTTGCCAACTGACTAACAGACTACTACTGACAAGGTCTGGCAAGCAGGGGGGAGTGATAAATTTCACCCATAGGCTAATGGACTGATACCAATAAATTTTGATGGACTGGAGGAAAAAAAAGATCAACTCCATCCATCCATCCATC